GTATTGCTTACTAGGATTATTGAGGAGTAAATGAATTATTAGATGTAGCATATAAGATAGTGCTTGGCATATAGTAGGGGCTGAAGAGACATAAGCTATTGCCATTCATTTAGCATGAGATGCCTGCTCTGAGGCAGGCCCTGTGCTAGACACCAGTGATGTAAAGGTAAGTTTGAATGGGAAGACAGACACACAAACGAGCCTGCCTTCTGCCTCTTCTTGTTCTTTATTAATGGATAGGAGACAAGGATACTACTATAGACTAGGTAAAATAGTCAATGTATATAACCCATAACTGATAAGAAAGGTAGAAGACCTAAGAGACAAAAACGTAATAGAACAATAATCGGGGAGGTCAACCCCTTGTCTATTATGAATTAGGTCACAATGCATGATAATGTAGCTGAGATTAAATACCCAAAATTGGACCCCATCGTAGTTTGGTAAAAGAATTGACACAGATTAGAACAAGAGCCTAAGAAAATTTTCTAAAACTATAATGATCACATCCTGGCCAGCCAACTAAACATTCAGTTACCAGATGTACCCAATAAAACAGCAGGACTTAAGCTGTGTCCCATCTAGCTGGAAAGCTGCAAAAACCTTGCATACACAGGCATACACACACACAAATGCCATTTGGCACAAAAAGAAAATGTTAGTAGGAAAGCAAGGAAAAGACGTGAGGCTGGTTTAAATCTCACCTCTGATACCCACTTGCTATCTATCCTTAGGTGAGTTATTAAACTTTCTGCTCCCTGGTATCTATATCTATGGAACACGGATATTGTTATCACCTACTACTCAGGATTGCTGTGAAGACTTAGTGAGATATTGCATAATAAACTCCAAGCAATAGCACTGAGCCGGCCCCAGCCATCGCTCAGTAATAGCTGTTTTGCTGTGCACTAGCTAGACATCTGCCTCCCCTGACTGCATTGTCTGTCCCTCTCTCTCTCACTCTGTGTGTGTCTGTTTCTCTCTGTCTATATGTTTTGTACACAAGTAATATATACACATATATTTATACAAGGAATCCATGTTAATTTTACAAAAACAAGAAAATAATGTACAAAAAAAATGTTAAACCACTCATAATGCCACCACCAAGAATAGCCACTATTTTGCTAGGTATCCCTCTGGGCTCTATGTGAATACACTATGTGTGTGCAAATGTAAATGTCTGTCTCTGTGTAAATACATCATACATATACAGGATCATACTATGCATTCTGTCCACTAGATTCTTTTTCCTTCTCAGCAATATATTATGTCAGTAAATATAAAATGTACATTAGCATTTGAAATTACTATTAATATATGGCATTCTATGTTAAGTAAATTATGTAATTTATTTAGACAATTCCGTATTGCTAGAAATGTAAGCTGTAATCAAATTTGCTGTTATAAACTTTTCTTGTATTAATACTCTGTGTCAATGTATCTGGATACTCAGCAGCTCTTACCATGGCCGTGGGTAGGTTTTTTTTTACCTCAATGATGATGGATGAATGCTACTGGTCTTGCTCACAAGCCTGCATTAGTATAACAGATGAGTAGCACTTGGAGTTCTGCAGAAGACTCACAATTTAACATACTAGTACCATGTAAAGTATTCCATACCTAAGTTCAACCAGCAGCAAACAACACAAAGAGTAAGCTGAGTCCCCCTAGAGTTAGAAGGGTTCAGAATTCATCTTATTGGACACATAAATACAGATCATGGACACATAAATACAGAAGATCAAATAACAATTAGAAAACAGGAAACTGGGAACAAGCAATCATAATCTCTAGTTTGTCTTTGCACATTTATTTTGCATCAGACAGAGATAAACATTGATTCATAATTACCTTCTCCCCTCCTTCCGTATCTAAGTCATTTCATTGGGTAATGTCAAGGGCCACATAACTAAGTAAAGTACTAAATTAGTTTTAATAAAATGCATCCAGAATTCCCAAGCAAAAGAAAGGAAGCCTTAGCTAATGAGTTCAGCGTTTCTGTGCACAAAAATGGAGGTACAGAGAAGGGTGCACCAGATGTCCTATCTGCTTCCAGGGAAAACCCAAACTGTGAGAATTGGGTTGGTTTGCTATAATCTGGCCACCATTGTTTAGGAATCTGGATGTCTGAATGTCTTGCAATTTTAATTTTTGAATATTTCACTAACATCTGCATAAGAATAGAGAGATGTTGATCTTCTCAGTTCAGCTTCTGAATCACCTGGAACCATCATTTAATCTTACTGAGCCTCTATAACATTGAGATACAATAATGCCCTGTTTCATAGTGATATTCCCAGTGCTTAGGCAAGAACGTGTTCATTAATAAGAGCTCTTTGAGTATCTTTGAAGCTGCTGAGATGTCTGAGGTGGCATGACAACACACAGCAGGATAATACCATTTGCACTTATTTTGGTATTTATATTAAATATTTATAATGCAGTATTTAAATTCTCAGACAAGTCAGCTCCTCATTATTTATGTTTTGATATTTATTTGTGTCCACTTTTGAGGTGAAATTGACTTCTTTCAACATCTCACCCTGTTTTTAAGGTGGATTGTCCCTAAAGGTGGAATATTGGGGACTCATGCAAACATTTGAGGAAGGGCACCTCCCAGAAAACTTTCTTTGGTGCCTTTTACCTCCTGCCTCTTTTGCTCACTCATTGGAGTTTTGCCAGGCCTTACACTGCCCTTTACTCATTTCCCTCTTTGCAGTTTTTCTATTTTGTCCTTCCATCCTTGAACATGGCCTTCCCTTCCCTCTCCTGCCAGCCCCACCCACTCTTATCTCACCCATCATGGTCCTTCCCTTCCTCCCAGTGGTTTTGTAGGCTTTGCTGTCCTGGCCACTTGGGTTGTCTCCTCGGTGGCCCATGCTCCTGTTTGGCAAGCCAGCTATGTGGCACTGCTGGGCACGCATTAGCAGACAGACAAGGCTAGGCCCCTGTTCGTTGATAGGGACAAGATGGAAGACAGAGCATGCCAGTGTCGCTCCTCACCCCAACCCCATCGTCTGTGTTTGACCCCACTCCTTCTCTGGACTCCTTGGCCTCTGTCGTTACTACATGGAACAGTGAGATGAGAATGTCAAATTATCTGAAGATTGTTTCAATGCTAATCTGAAGAAAAGCTACCAGGCCTCATTACCCATGTGAACTGACACCAGAATGTGAGCACTGAATTAAATCTGTTGTCGAACGGATTATGGAAAGCATTATAGCAGGCATTCAGCAGGGACCTAAATGAGAGGACAGCCTTCCTGTTTTCCTAACTGTAGAAATTCTCTTTAGTCTTTCAACATGCATGAGGTTTTTCCCATCCTTTTGGGGGTTGGTTCAGTCAAGATGGTAACATAATCGAGATGTCAGAGTTGGTCCTAAGTGAGGAGGCTCAGGATCCAAAAGCCAAGAGAGGGCATTAATGAGTTTATGGGGTCAGGTGAGTCTTATTCTGTGTTGGATGTCCCCAAGACCATCCTCTGGCTCAATTATTCACTAAAAAGAACTCACAGGACTCAGAAAAACTGTTGTACTCATGGTTACAGTTTATTACAGCAAAGGGATACAGATTTAAAGCAGAAAAGGGTGAAGGTGCCAGGAGAAACCAGGCACAAGTGTCCAGGTGTCCTTTCCCAGTGGATTCAAACAAATATGCTTAATTTTTCCAGCAACGATTTGTGACAACATGTGCAAAGTATTGCCAATCTGGGGAAACTCATCTGAGCCTTAGTATTCAGGATTTTGACTGGGATCAGTCACTTAGACATGCAATATCTGCATGACTCACCTCAGCTACTCAAACTCCAGCCTCCCAGCACAAAAATAGGTGTTCATCATAAATCACATTGTTGGTATAAACTATCTGATCATACCGGTATGGTGGCCCAAGGCGTCTAGCATGCAAAATACTCTTATCAGGCAGAATATTGCTAGGACTCAGAGCTCATCTCTCAGGAGCTGGTCAAGAGCCAGTCCTAAAAACAAGCCTGTCTTGAGCAACCCAATCCTTCCCTGCACCTATTCCCAGGGTCAAGACACTAGAAGGCTTTGGACACATGACTGAACTTCTCCTACCTCAGCTGTTACCTTCCAAGAGTAACATTCTTTTTTTTTTTTTTTTCTTTTTTTAGAGGAAGAAAGAGAGAAAGAAAGAAAGAATAAAAAAAATAGAAAAAGAAAAAAAAAAGAATGAAGGAGAGGAAGAAAGAGAAAGGGGAAGAGGGAGAGAGAACAGGGGTGTTGCTTTATTGCCCGGGCTAGAATGCAGTCTAAAAATAGGTATGCCTGTAATTGTGTTTAATAATAGACACATAAAAAAAATGAGGGAAGAAAATAATTAACAAGCAGCCAACCAATATTTCATTTAATCCTATAAATAGGTGTGATGTGGTACTGATAAGAGTGTATATTTTGTGTATTTAAAGTGGAGAGTTCTATAAATGTTAATTAAGTCTACTTGTTCCAGATCTGAGTTCAAGTCCTGGATATCGTTATTAACTTTCTGTCTCACTGATCTGTCTAATATTGATGTTGAAGTCTCCCACTATTATTGTGTGGGAGTCCAAGTCTCTTTATAAGTCTTATATATCTGGGTGTTCCTGTATTGAGTGTGTATATATTTTGGATCTTTAGCTCTTGTTGTTACATTGATCCTTTTATTATGTAATATCTTTCTTTGCTTATCCAAGAGTAACATTCTTCCTTCCACATTGGATCACTGTGATTCAGAATAGTAACGGCTAAACTATTTTCACAAGAAGTAGGTCATCTATATCAAGGACACTATAAATTATTATTGTTGTGTGTATCGTATCATTATTATTCAGGGGGTGGGTCATGAGAATGAGCCCTGAATGCTTCCTTGTTATCTCAGAACAAGTCAGAAATGCCTTTTTCCAAGCTTCTGAAGGCAAAGATGACTTCAGAGCAGCATGTCTCCTCTCCACACTGGCGTTTAACTTTCTCCCTTGCTCTTCTCTCCCTTTACCTGGCAGTGGCTGAGAAACCCTGGCCCCCAGCATGAGAAGCGGACTCTGTTTGGCGACATGGTGTGCTTCTTGTTTATAACACCCCTGGCCACCATCTCGGGCTGGCTGTGCCTGCGGGGCGCTGTGGACCACCTGCACTTTAGTAGTCGGCTGGAAGCCGTCGGACTGATTGCACTCACTGTCGCACTCTTCACCATTTACCTCTTTTGGACACTAGTAAGTATGGGCGATGGCCGGGGTTCAGGCCATTTGGAGCTGGCAGCCTCATAGCTGGTACAAGCCTTTCCTCTTGTCTGTAACACATCTCACGTACCCAGTAGGAAACAGACTTCGAGACTGGGTGTGGTGGATCACCTGAGGTCAGGAGTTCAAGACCAGCCTGGAAAACATGGTGAAACCCTGTCTCTACTAAAAATGCAAAAATTAGCTGGGCATGGTGGTGTATGCCTATAATCCCAGCTACTCAGGAGGCTGAGGTAGGAGAATCGCTTGAACATGGGAGTCAGAGGTTGCAGTGAGTCAAGATCATGCCACTGCACTTCAGCCTGGGCAACAGAGTGAGACTCTGTCTCAAAAAAAAAGAAAAGAAAAAGAAACAGACCTTTGAATGCTGGCAGGAACAGGTGATTTGGTTTATAACTACGTGTGTGTGTTCGTTTGTCTGTGTGTGTATCTGCACTGCTAAGGCAGATCACATAAAAGAAAAGCTCAGCCTCTGGGTGTCCATCAGTCAAAGACACACACACACCTTGGATGTTTCGCTCTTCTGGTAGTCTAGGACTCATCTGTTATAAGGCATGGCATTTTCTTTCTCTTGTTTATGTTTCTCACTTTTGCCGGGACTATAGTATATTATGAATGATGCACTTGGCCGCTGTTGCTGTCACTGCCTGCACAGATCATGAATCCTCCCTGCTGGTTATTTTCTTCTTATGTCCTGACACAGCCTAAAGTCTTTGTTGGACGTGGAGCCACACTTTGCCTGATGATTATTCTATGTGTTTGGGAGATTGACTCTGCTGCCCATAAAAGCACTAATTTATCTAGCTGAGAAGCTGCCACCAAAGAAAGGCCATTTCTCAATAACTGTTCTCACTGTATATAAGGAAGAATTTTTAAATATCCCCTTTTTCATTCTTTTAACTTTTAACTTCATGCAGTAAGTTGATTGCTCGAGTACCAGTTGACAGCACCCACAAAATGCAACATTTGATCTCTCTCTTTATGCTTTCTTCTGGGAGCTGCAGGGAAGGACATCACTGTCTTCTAGAATATTTCAGAAGCTAGGCCCCCTGCTTCCTGGCATTACTCTCCTGTGCCTGCTCATTTCTAATCTGAGCACGTTCTATTGTTATTCAATATGTATTTCCTGTCTAAAGCGTACCATTCCCATATCCCATAGCACAGTGTCAGCATGTGGAAAATGCTTCTAGCACTCACTTCCTCCCTTTATCTGCCTCCCAGACCCTGTTCCTCCAGCTGCCACTCCCAAGACCCTGTTCATTTCCCTCTTCTTTATCATATGGCTCTTCCAGCTCTGTACCTCCTCTCCAGTGAGAGTGTTCAGACAGTAAGCAGACACATTTCAGTCTCAGTAAAGAGGGAGTGTTCTAATGCTAAGAATTTATCTGAGTCTTACGGTTAATTTAAACATTCTGTTCCCAGGCTAATGAAGCCCCAAGCAAAACTATTATTGCCTCTTTTAAAAGTCTAAGCTTCCGGCCGGGCACAGTAGCTCATATCTGCCAGTACTTTGGGAGGCTGAGGCAGGTGAATTGCTTGAGGTTAGGAGTTCAAGACCAGCCTTGCCAACATGGAGAAATCGTCTCTACTAAAAATACAAAAATTAGGAGTACTGGTGCACCTCTGTAATCCTAGCTACTTGGGAGGCTGAGGCAGGAGAATTGCTTGAACCTGGAAGGCAGAGGTTGCAGTGAGCTGAAATGGCACCACTGCACTCCAGCCTGGGCGACAGAGCAAGACTCCATCTCAAAAAAAAGTCTATGCTTCCAAAGTGCGTTCTGGTTCACTGTGAATTAAGCAGTGAAGCCGTCCCAGAAGCTTCTATTGTGATGGGAGAAGGGTGAGAAATAAGAAATGAAGGAGCCTAAGCAGCACCATCTAACTCTTGGTCCATGGCACCACCTGGGAAAGTCATTTTGCTTCTGTGAGGCTCAGTGTCCTCATCTGTTAAGTGGAATTAGCGGCAATGCCCATCCTGCCAAATTCCCCGGGTGTTATGAGATTTAAGTGAAAGTGTGTATGGGAAAGTACTTTGGAGAATAATACAAGGTCTTGCCATGTTTAGAGGTTTTCTAGTCTGTCCTTGTTTTAGAAGAGTACCTATGATGAGGATGGATGAAGCGAACTTAAATGCCGGACTTTCAAAACCAATTTAAGACCTTTTGAAATCCTGCTTTGTAAAACATACACTTACCTAACAAGAAAGAAAAAGGGTGATAGGTGACTGGAAAGGAAGGAAGAAAGGGAGAAAAGAGCAAGCTATCTCGAGAAATAATGGATGTGACCTTGTTTCGTCTCCCATTTCAGGTGAAAGAAGGTTTGGGTGGAAAAGCTACCTAGACTAGGCTCTTTCAGGAAAATGGAAACATACTTCACCCCAGAAATGTTTCTTACAGGCAGTGCTGTGCATGCATTTAGAATCCAAGGGCCCTGTGTTTAAACCCAAGATTTAGCATCCTAATAACAGTAACTTCAAATAGGATACCTAACCTTTCTGTTCATCCTTCCTCTTATACAAAAAAATACAGGAAATAATTGCTAACCCCTGGGTCAATGGATTATTGCAAACAGTAAGTAGATAACATCTGAGAGGATACATGCAAGCACCTAGCAGAGGTTGGCCCTACGTTCCTTCCTGCGGCTTCCCTGCTCCCCCAGCTTCCACCCTCCCCCTGCCCTTCATAGAACGCAAAGTAGCAGGAGGGAAAGAAGGCATGTCTCCCCTTTGACCGGTGTGAAAAACGTGCTGTGGAGTCAGCTCAGCAATAGGTTACTGAATATAGAATAACTCCTTCCCAGATAAATGCTGTACTGAGCAGCCCTGGCAAGAGCCGTAATTCAGAAGCTGACAGCACTTGGAAACTGCCCTACGGCAGAAACCCATTGTAAACAAGCTGTCAAGCTTAAGGAGAATATGCTGTGAAAATGTCTTAGATAAACAAACACGGTGTCAGTCCAAGCCTTGCTCCTCAGAGGAGCCGTTCCTGGAAGGCCTCCCTGGTACTGTGAAGAAGGACAAGCGCTCACGCTGCTTGCTTCAGAGTGCCTTGGAGTTTCTCACAGGCACACATGGCCATGAAAGTCCAGCCTTAGGGAGTCCCCTGCTGTGGAACCTGCTGTGTTTCAGAAGCACACCTGGGCCCCAGGAGGCCAGGATGTAGGGGCCGCCCTAAGAGTTCAGGGATTGTTGTCCCAGAAACATCACTGTGCATGTCACAAGTGATTTGAATCCCATGAACAGACACAAAGAGGGCTGGATAAGAACTGAGTCCACATTAAACATGAAGAAATTGTCGGAAATGGACTTGGTATTAGCCCCAGTTTAGAGGCTGGAGGAGAATCGAGGCACCATGTACGGGAAGTCTTTCCACTCATGCATCACAGATGTGGCCAGTGTCCAGCAAAGAAGGGAATGCATGAGCGGCCCGGCTCCTCAAAGGCTGACTCCCAGTCCCATGTTTTGATTGTTTAAATTCTTCTTATAAATGCGGAGCCTCCAGTGGAATCTGTCCCAACAAGGCTTACTGTGGGGCTGCTTAAGACACATCCTCCACACGGCCTATGAGCAGCCTGAGGGTATTCAGCAGTGTTTCCCCACGACCAATTCTCTCCTATACTCCTTTCCCCAGTGCAGTCAGAGATAGATAGGTGAGCTGGGCCCATTGCCACCGAGGCAATTTGCCAAGGCCTGATCCCATCAATCTCCCTAAGTCACACCATCACTTCCAGAGAGAAAGGGCAAAATAAAAATATGTAACCAGATTTCCGGAAGCCTGCTGTGACTTTACGCACACCTTTGCCACTGCCACAGTCGCCTCCCTAATGGGAAGAGTAGATGCTAACATTTTCTAACCCTTCTCATAATATTCATGCAATCACAACTCTTTGTACAACAGACTTGCCCATGATAGGAGGTTAGATAAATAAATGAAGAAACTTCAGGAAGCCCATCCCATAAGGGGTAGTATTTTTAGGATAGTGGCCCTTTATTTTCTTCCTCCTCTCTCCTAAACTCAAAAGTTTAAGAAATATCTCAGTGAAATTCCTAGCATTATTGTTATAGCATCTTTTTATTTTATGTTTTCTTTTTCCTCACTGCCTTATTCTTCCAAATTAGACTTTCTTTCCTTCCAATTATATTGCATTGCAGGGATGCAGTGTCTTGGAGCATCTAGAGAAGCAGCATGAACCCAGGGCAATGCAAACCTGCAGTCTCCTTGGCGTTGTGCTCAACTACCTTTATTTTCCCTGACAAAGAGGCATCTTCTTATGATGCTTTCTTCTTATTGATTGAATTTGCCTGCAGACTGTGGTGATTAACCACAATTAAAATAGATTAATGTGTAATAAGATCTCATCTGTTTGTCTACACAAGTGGGCTCAATTTTTAAATTTCCTGGCCAAGGAACCAGGAGACCTGCTAAGTCACTGACTTCCTGTGTTCCTTGAAGCAGTGCATCTCAGGCTTGAATGCACATGCGGATCACCTGGGGACCTTGTTAAACTGCACTCTCTAATTCCTTAGGTCTGGGTGGGGCCTGAAATTCTGATATTCTAACAAGCTCCCAGGTGATGCAGCCTGCTACTAGTCCAGGACCACGCTGAGAGCAGAGCCTTAAAGAAAATAGCCCTATCTCTCTCTGTTTCTATTTTTTTCTGTTACCCTGTATCTAAAGAGTGTCACAAAACTCTTTCTTATATTTAACACACGTAAAATAACAACCCAAGAACACTAAAATGTATGCCCTGTGCTTTCTGCTAGGTGTTTTATATGCATCACATCAAATATCATTGTTCACATCTTACAAACAAGGAAACTGAAACTTGTTGACAGCTAATAACCTCCCCAAGTCACGCAACCACTAAGCAGAGGATGCAGATTCCAGCCTCATGTGCCTGGCTCTGGAGCCTGCGGCCTGCACTCATAGCTCCTTCTCCGATTACTAATGCCAAGTGTGCACAGCTCTCAGCATCATGGAAAAAGGGACTCTTGATTTGAAATACAGCTTTCCCATAATGTTCCCAGATCCCAGACTTCTTATATTGCCAAAGTTCCTTATTAGTATAATACTTGTCTGCATTCCACCTCTTTCCTGCCCTTGGCCCTGAACAGCTGACTTCCCAGCCTGCCTCTCTTACATTCATGAGTAGCACCCAGCAGCAGCAGGACAGAATAGATACAAGAGAATCAGCTTAAAAAAAACCAAGCTGATCCACTTTGGCATGTTCAGGGACTTTTGGAGGAAAGCACATCTGTGTGAGTTTAAAAGTGTGTATTTTCATACTCAGCTCTCTGGCACTCAGCCCGTGGCATCTGCTTTCTAGCCTCAGAAATTGGAATGAGTGGCCTTGAATTTCATGATCCTGCCCATTCTGATCAAGGGCCTGCACTTCCACCTACTTCCAGAAACTCCAGCTCAAGCCATCAGGTCAATCCACTTTCTGACCACCATAGACCTTTAGTGGTCAACACAACCCACCTACTCCCAGATGATTAAATAGCCCAGATCTGATTTGTCTCTCCAAGCTCATGGGCTCCTTCATTTCCAGCACTTACCTAGACATCAGACTCTGAATTTCCTGGGCAGTCCCTCAATGTTTTATGCCAGCCTTCTCCAAAACAAACTACAGGTTTAAGCATCTCATTCCAATGTATATACATAAAAAAGCAAGCACCTCAGCTGGGCGCGGTGGCTCACGCCTATAATCCCAGCACTTTGATCACTTGAGGCCGGGAGTTCGAAACCAGCCTGGCCAACATGGTGAAACCCCGTCTCCACTAAAAACAAAATTTGCCAGACGTAGTGGCATGTGCCTGTAATCCCAGCTAATCAGGAGGCTGAGGCAAGGCACAAGAATCACTTGAACCCAGGAGGCAGAGGTCGCAGTGAGCTGAGATCATGCCACTGCACTCCAGCCTGGGTGACAGAGCAAGACTCCATCTAAAAAAAAAGAAAAAAGAAAAAGGCTTCAGTTTGAAGCAGTGTTGCAATTAGAAAAGGTAGGATGCTTATTCACTCATCCATTTACTCAGCAAACTCTCTTGAGCAACTTCCTAAGTGCCAGGCCCTGGAACAGGTGCTGGCCATGCAAAGATAAACACAACAGACCCCTGCTCTCAAGATGCTCCTAGGGCAGGGGGAGGAAAAACATGCACAGTGCTGTTCAGGACGCTCAGTGCCGTGTAGGAAAGCTTGAGGCACGGTGGGCACCCAAGGGAGTCATGCCCCACCTAGCCTGAGACTCAAGAAGATTTATCAGGGGAGTTAGTGCCCATGCTGCGATTTCCTTACTGGAAGCTATGCATGCTGGAGCTGGAGGCCATTATGAATCATCCATTGGGGCCATCATGCAGTTGTGCAGGTTGTCCACAGGACAGCACAAAGGGCGTGTCCTTCGTATCACAGGGTGAGTGGGATCCTTGGAGTTGTGCAGGGTCTAACTTGCAGGAAGGTACATGAAGTCCTAGCATCCCACTCATCTAACAGAGAAGAACCTAGGGACCTGATAGGCACATTGTCCAGATCACACAGCTGGGCGAGGGCTGGCATTGTATCCACCACTAGTCCAAAAATAAATTCAAACTCAGAAAGAACCACATTTTCCCATTCATATCCTGAATGTACCCAGTATGAGGAGGAACAGAGGAAGCCACCCATGCAACCTCTGCCCATGTGTCCACACACAGGGTGCTCTGTGGTTGGTGCCCAGTCTTCCAACACTCACTGCGTGCCAGAGCCATTGTGCCCAGGGTTCTTGCCCAGCTGTAGTGCTGCCAGCTCTTTGAAGCTCTTTCAAATGACGTATTTTTTTCTTGCAATGATTATCCACTTCTGCTGACCTGAATTCTTTTCTCTTGCTTTTCCTCTCTCACCCCCAGGTGTCATTTAGGTACCACTGTCGATTGTACAATGAGTGGCGTCGGACCAATCAGAGGGTGATTCTCCTCATTCCAAAGTCTGTCAATGTACCTTCTAACCAGCAGTCCTTGCTGGGCCTACATTCGGTCAAGAGGAACTCAAAGGAGACAATTGTTTGATGTTTGTGTGGGTGGTTGGTTGATTCATTGTTTGGGGTTTGGAAGTGGCTGCACTGTGGCCATGCACTGAGCCACCCCCAAGCCCTTCCTTCAGCCTGGGGGTCTAAGAACATCCAGAGTGCATTAGCACATCACCCCAAGCAACGACCGTTGCCAGAAGAAAGCAAATGCTGTTTTACTTCAAATCATGGATGCTGCAATCATATGATATTTGCTAAGCTGCCAAACATGTTTATTTAGCAGATACTGTATGGAATTTTCTGAACACCTCTTTAACGTATGAGGAAGGTTGTCCTGCTACGGATGCAATTCAATTCTTCCTTTTTTATTACTATTTCAAACATATATATATATATATATATTAAACTTAGATGATAATCAAAATCAAAAAGCCAATGTAAAAACTGGTTTCTTGGTTTGGTTGGGTCTTATTCGAGTTAGTTTGTTTCTCAGTTCCTCGTGTGGATTATTTGGGGTACTTTGGTAGCCTGAATGGTCTCTTTCATCTCTTTCACATCCAGGAGACAGCATAACAGATGCAGAACAAGTCATATTTGAAGAATGTTTTGTACTAAACTTCATTTAATTATTCAGTTTTTAAAGGGAAAAAGGGCGTGGCAACTCTCCACACAGTGAGCTGTTTATTTAAATATCATTAAGAAGAAAATATGGTGAGAAGCTCACTCCTTTCAACTTCTTTGGTACTGACAGCTGATAGAAGCTATTTTCTAATAATAAATATCCAGTGTGTGAAAAACAAAACCCACTGATTGCAAAACTCTTTTTTTAAATCATAAAACCTGTGAAGTTTCCCAAAGCAGGTTTTAAAGGGAAAAGAGGGAAAAGCAAAAAGGTTGGTGTTCTCACTCCCATCTCATTTAGTGCATGTCTTAATTCTGCATTCGTAATGAACTGGAGGATCATTAGACATTTCTAGGAACCCTAGACCTGTTTTGCATATCAATTAGCATTCCCATCGCTCTATTGAATTTCTAGCTTGACAGGTAGATGTGGCAAAAAAGCCTGTCCTAGCAGCCCTGCACTTATTGTAAGACCCCTTTGTCTGATTTTTTTAAAAAGCCCCACACAGTGCCTTCCCCCAACCGTGAGCCAATTCTGTCACAGGCCGAAATAGATTTTTTCTAAGGGTTTCGTGTCCCGCTTTTGTCTGTCGCAGTGTAAAGGGCCTGATCCGCAGCCTGCATTGTGCGCGCGCGGAGGCGGGAGCGGATGTCTTCTGAGGAGAGCTGGCTGGGGTGACTCCCAGGCTCCGGCTATCCGCCCGCCCACACGCCGCGACGAGGGGCGGAGCCCTGCTTCGGGAATGCTTAAAATGTGGAATTCTAGAACACGACCCACATTCTGAGTATCACTCCAAGCATCTGCCTTGTGCTCCCCAAGTGGAAAACGAGAAGTGCAAAGGAACAGGCAGCGAGGAGGGTAGCGATTTTTGTCTGCAAATTGATGGAGCTGATGCAGCTGTCCCCTTTGTCGGCGAGCCCTCCTTTCACAGCCTGCCCTCAGCGCTGCCTGGGGAGGGAAACAGCTGTACTGCTCTTCTCTGCAAAACTCAGATGTGCTTTATGGCTTGTGACAATAGATTTCCTCCCCACCACGCTTCACTTGGACACTTCAATTCCAGTAATATACGTCTCAGCCCTTCTGTTTACTCGGCCCTGCTCACCCTCCCTGAGCTGTCATTAGCTCCACCACCATCAACCGCTTCTTAATTGACCTTTTTAAAATGCTGGGCACCACCGGCTGCACGCAGCTGCCACACATTAAATTTCCAGAGCAAAGAGCTCAACTTGGTAGCTGGTGAATTGCAGCCCAGTAATATACTTGATAAATGACGTCCACCCAGCCTTAGTCCCTGAGCTGTCAGGTGAACCTGTTGACACCTCTCAACTGAATGGCACAACATTCATGAGAGGACCATGCCCCTTCTCCTTCCTGCTTCTTCCATGAATTAAGGAAGCAGCGGATTCCCAGGAGGATTTCCTGTGGGGGTAGTGTCTGCAGAGAATTCCTGCGGTCTTGGTTCGTGAGATGAGATATAATGACACCATCAAAGGCAGCCAGGTCCCAGGCAGTTCAATGGGGACCCTCACTTAGGAAGGGCTTGCACATTAATGCTGTGCCTGTGCCACACCTTTTTCTCATGTTTGCATCCCTGCCCTGTGAAGTACAGCAGAGTCCAAGATACAAAGAGTAGATTGCATGTGGGGTGGTGGGCAGGACACCCTTGGCAGCCAGGCACAGCATCAGTGCCTCCCTTCCCAGGTCACCAGCTTGGGACCTCCCTGTGAGACGCTCTGCTCTCCTTTGGCATCAGGGCCCATCTGGGATTCTGAACTCTTGGAGGATATTTCATCCTCTCCAAGCCATGCCCTATGGAAAGGGCTCCACCTCCTGCAGGAAGGGGTGCCTTTTCTTTATGGGTGCAGAGGCATCCTGAGGCTTACCAGCGGCCTTGCTAGCCTAGTCCTCTTCTTGTGCTTCTTTCTTTTTGAAAGATCAAGAATGAAGAGGAAGAGATGAAGAATGGGAGTCCTTACCTAAAGGACCCTGGTGGTTCATTGCTTCTCTTGCAGGGACTTTTTACAAAACTCCCTCTCTTCCACACTCCTTGCTGTGATTCTGTCCTAATCATTTTTCTTGAGCATATCACGTAGAGACAAATGTGTGTCACAGTGAAGCTAGAGGGTGAATTAACAACTAAGACAAATCCAGTGTGCTCTTTCCTGCCCTGCATGTGTGCTCATTTGGGGAAGGACGGAGGACACAGGGCATCGACACAAATTCTACAGCTCCTCAGAGAACTGAGCAGAGACATAGATGAGCTGTAAAATCCATTAAGGAAAAATAAACAGCATGATTTGGAAGTTACTTTGGTTTGTCTTTCGTTGTCCTAGTGTCCCCTGCCCCAAGTGCCTCGGCCCTGCTGTGGATTGTCACTTTCAGGGGGCTGTAACCACAGGCATTTCATTTTCAGTGAAAGTAACTCATCTGGGGCATGGAGGAGCCAAAGGAGAAAATGGAAGTGAAACAGCAGCCCAACTGACCCAGCACTTGGGCAAGCAACCAGCTTCTGGTCCTGCTTCCTCCTAAGTCCTTATTGTTCCCATGGGGCGCTGACCCTGGCTGGGCTCTGGGTCCACACCTGCACGGTGCATCTTTCTCCCATATTTGAAACCCCTCAGCCTTGCCCGACACTCCACACAGCTCATAGAGCTGCCCACACTAGGAAATGACCCAAGACCCAAAGAACCTGACTAAGAAAGCCAGCTAGGAAATGAATGCAGGAAATGCTTCCTCTCCACTTCAATCCAGGATGTTCCTAGAAGCTGCCTGAAGATCTAACACACAGCTTGTGGTCCTGGTGCTAGATGAGAAATGTAGAGTTGTGATTCTGATGCCTGAAGTAGAATAGGAGTTGAGCCAGCATGTGGGGACAAGGTTCAGGCTTATTTTAGGACAAGAAGTTAGGACCAGGATGAACCTGGCTTCCCATCATTCTTCCCAGACAAGTATATGAGGATCTGCTTTCTGGCAGACAGACCACATGAAGCCTGGTGCTGCTGAGGTTGGAGTCGTGAGAAGTTGGCACTATGGCTAGTGATGTCTGGGCAACTGTTAACTCTCTCAAAATGTGTCAGTTCTGCAGAAATATATGGGCTACAATCCACCCATTTTTTTTTTTTATTGGTGCCTTCAGATGAGACACCCTTTCTTTGGCTTCACAAAAGTCTCAGTGTCTAGGAATTGGCTTTAGGACATTCTGCCTTCCCCTTGCCTGTTGCAGTCATTCTGGGGTGATCCTGGCTCCTCTTCCTAACATGACAGAGTGGAAGAGAACCACCTAGGGAGTAAGAGTACGTGAAGGTTTTTTGTGTGGCTTTTTTTTTTTTTTTTTTTTTTGAGACAGGGTCTCATTCTGTCACCCAGACTAGAGTGTAGAGGCACAATCTCAGCTCACTGCAACTCCACCTCCCAGGTTCAAGCAATTCTCCCACCTCTGCCTCCCAAGTAGCTGGGATTACAAGTGCCCACCACCACACCTGGCTAATTTTTGTATTTTTAGTAGAGATAGGGTATCACCATGCTGGCCAGGCTGATCGCAAACTCCTGACCTCCAGTAATACATCTTCCTCAGCTTCCCAAAGTGCTGGGATTACAGGCGTAAGCCACCATGCCCAGTCAAGAACACGTGAGTTTGAATCCTGGCTTCACAATGTCTCAGCTGCAGATTGTGGACAAGTGACCCCATCTATCTAAGCCTAGGTTTTTGCTTCTGTAAAATGGGGGTAGTGTCTACCTCATATAGTCCTTGTAAGAGTCACAAGGCTTAGCTCCCTCTCAAAAATGAACAGTGGTGCCCTTCCCTTTCTAACCTTCCATTCACTGTTGCTACCGTCTAGGTTATTTTGCCCTAGCCAGGATTTCAAAGAACAATTTTAATAATCGATTTGAAAGAACATAAACAAATTGTTTTAATTAGTATTCAAAAAGAAGAGGAATTAATATAAAATAATCAACAAATGTTGTGCACTGTGCTTGGGAATAAAAAGAATTGTTATGAGAACTTTCTACAGGTTGAAATTACTGATTGGATTGAGATCTTTGAATTATGGGTAGATTTTTGTTTTCCTTGCATTTCCTGATACTGAGACCTAGGGTTAATTGATAATTCGTTACAGATAAAAATTTGCTAGTTCTGGGTCTAGTGCTACAGAAGAAAACGAATATAGCCCATCAGTTGTCTGTGTTCCCAGAAATGAGACATTCGTGAGTCACTGAGCTCATACATCCAGTGCCTTCTTCAGGCTCTGAATTCTGTGCACAAAGACAACAGCAGGAGAGCTGGCTCAGGGAGTCCTGCTTCGTTTTGAGACACTCTCTTTTTTGGAATATCCTTTTCATCTATCAATCAGGGCCGTAATTTCCCCATCAAGGAAATGAATATATGAGTCCTATCAGAGGTTTTAGCCTATCTGTGAACATTATGTGAAAGGAATTAAGTTAGTCATACATTTTTGCTCATGACACCATTTCTATTAGGTCCTTGTTCTTTTTTATTCCATAAATACATATATAGTACCAGGCCTTTCCCATGAGCCATGCACTATCCAGCACTTTGATGTTTTAATTTTTTTGGCTGGGGGGTTGGGGGCAGACAAAATGTTGCTCTCTCACCCAGATTGGAGTGCAGTGGCAAGATCTCAACTCACTACAAACTCCACCTCCCAGGTTCAAGCAATTCTCCTGCCTTCGCCTCCCAAGTAGCTGGGATTACAGGCACACGACCACCACACCTGGCTAATTTTTGTATCATTTTTTTAGTAGAGGCAGGGTTTCACAATGTTGGTCAGGCTAGTCTCGAACTCCTGAACTCGAGATTCCCCCTCTTCGCCTCCCAAAATGCTGGGATTATAGGCGTGAGCCACCGCACCCGGCCCTATCCAGCACTTTAAAAATTACTTCCTGGCCAGGCCCAGTGGCTCACGCTTGTAATCCCAGTACTTTGGAAGGTTGAGGTAGGCAGATGGCTTGAGCCCAGGAGTTTGAGACCAGCCTGGGCAACATGGTGAGACCCCGTCTCTACACAAAATACAAAATATTAGCCACACATGTAGGTGCGTACCTGTGGTCCCAGCTACTCAGGAGGCTGAGGTGGGAGGATCATTTGCACCCAGGAGGTCGAGGCTGCAGTGAGCCAATATTACACTACTGTACTTCCTGCCTGGGCGACAGAGCAAGACCCTGTGTCAAAAAAGAAAAAAATAAGATTACCTTACTTAATCCTCATAACCATATCTAATGCCACTTAAAAGAACTAAGTAGTCCAAAACAACTACTTTATTCTATCTTATTATTCCCAGGTTGGCCTGGCTCAGCTGGGCAGTGCCTCTGCCAGGTGTCTTTTACACAGTCAGATGGCACAGTGCTTCGCCACGTGGCCCACATCTCTACGTGGCATCTGTTTCTAGGCCCGTTGAAACGGCATGGCGGCCCAAGGCTCCTGCTTAAAACACACGGCTGGGCAGCCCCAGAGCTGCACTTACTCCGTATCCTATTGGTCAAAGCAGTCACAGGCCCACCTCTTGTGGGAGGGGCTACATGCAGACAGGGAGGGGCAGAATTTTTTGGAGCCAGTCTTTGGCTATCAGTTACCCGCTCCTTTTTAGAGATGGGGACACTTAAACCAGAGAGGTTGTTAATTGCCCAAGGTAACAGCGCCAGTAAGAGGCGCAGCTGGGATTCAGACCCATGCACTCAGAGTATGGACTCAGCGGCTAGTTTTAAATATTTCCCTTTCATTTCTAATTTCCACTCCTATCCCCTTCCTTTCTCCATTAGGCACCCACTCTCTAATATGCATACAAATTGAATATGTATGCATCTTTGCAAAACATATTGTTTTGTGTGTATATGTCTTAATTTACATAAACGATATTACAACTCTCTTTTTTCACTCAACACTGGCTCTAAGATGCCTCCATGTTGCTGCGTGTGCTACCTCATTGCTAATGGCTGCTTGGAATTCCATTTTACTTTTCCATTCCCTTACTGTTGCCTCCAGCTGCCTACCCAGCCAACAGTGCAGTGATGGACATCTCGTACTCATCTCCGTGTGCGCCTGTCAGAGAGCTTCACTGCATCAGTATCCGTCAGTGGGAGTGCTGGGCTATAGGACGCTGCCATATTTAACTTGACTATTCTGGTATTGTTCTCAACGAGTATTCCACTTTAGACACCCCTGCCTGCAGTAGTAGTTGAGTTTTCCCATCTCTCCCTATCCTTTCGAACACAAGCTATTATTTGTTCATTGTTGCCAATCTGATAGTATAAATCTGTGTTTTATTGTTAAATTGCTTATCTGTTCAAATTTACATTTCTCTTTTTTTTTCCTGTTGAGTTCCCTGTCTTTTCCTTTTTGGTCTCCCTAGTCAGTTTGATGTGTCAAAGTCATCTTTCATTTGTTCAACCCTCTCTTAATTTTGTCTATGGTATTCTTCGTTGAACAGAAATCCTTAATTTTGACGTAGTGAGTTGTGAGTTTTGCTGTGTAGTTTCTACTATGGGTAGTCTTATTTAAATTTAAGAAGTCCTTTCTCATTCCCGAAGCACAAAGTTATTCTCTCATATTTTCTTACTTTAGCTTTAGTCTTATCTTTCACCCTTAGGCCTCTCATCTGTCTGGAGTTCACCTCTGTATATGGCATAAGATAAGGATCCAATGTTATCTCCCTAAAGCAGGCAGTTTTTCCATCACCATCCACTAAACAATCTTACCCTTTGTTCATTCATTTGTAGTGTCACCTGTATCACATATCCAGTTCCATATAAACATGGGTCTATTTTTGAGCACTCAATTTATGGCTTCAGTCTTTTTGTCTGTTCCTGCATTCTCTCACCATTTATCATACCGTGGCTTTTTTTTTTTTTTTTTTTTTTAGATAGACTCACTCTGTCTTGCCCAGGCTGGAGTGCAGTGGCACGATCTTGGCTCACCACAGATTCTGCCTCCTGGGTTCAAGAGATTCTCCTGCCTCAGCCTCCGGAATAGCTGGGACTACAGGCGTCTGCCACCCCACCCAGCTAATTTTTGTATTTCTAGTAGAGATGGGGTTTCCCTATGTTAGCCAGGCCGGCCTCAAACTCCTGACCTCAGATGATCCACCTGCCTCGGCCTCCCAGTACTGGGAATTCAGGCACGAGCCACTGCAGACAACTTTCACTGTGGTTTTATAGCTTGTCTCAGTACTTAGTGGAATGAGCAACTCCTCCCAATCCCTTAACGACTTCACTCTTCTTTTTTTCAGAATTGACTTAGTTATTTGTGATCCAGCTTTTTATTCTTGTGTATAAATTTTATAATTGTTAAG